GACCGTGCTCAAGATTGAGAACGCTGGATAATTCCGATCTCTCCTAATCGCGCAGCTCTGTAGAAAGGAGTTTACACTGCTTTTATCACTCAGAATACCTACAGTGATGATTCTGCGGTAACTGCGTAAGCAGACATTGTCGAAATAACATAGTCAGGATGAAACACGAGACGAGTCAGGCTACGGACGCCATAAAGCTAGTCCTGTCGCTCACTCCCTCAGTCTGAGCATTTTCCTCGAAATCAAGCAGATTGACCCTCAACTTCCACGAGTGATCAGATCAGAGATCCAAGTCTCCCGTCTCGTTTCAGAGTGCATAAACTACCACCACTTACAAGGGGGGTCTTTCAGGACATGGAGCGTTTTTTTCAAAATGGTTTCTGAATGTTGTAGAGGCTCATGTGAGGAACACAGAACCATGGTCCATTTTTCCTGAACGCCCCCAGGAATGTCAAAACAGCGGGAAGAAATGGTCCAAAGTTCGATCCCCGTGATGACAAATTTTTGCAATTTATGTTGGCGCCTCCAAATTGCCGCAAAACACGACAATGACATCTATTCTCGACGATGGCGCCATTTGGCGGCAATCTGGGGGCGCCAAACTATATTGCAAAAATTAGTCATCACCGGGGATCGAACTCTGGACCATTTCTTCACCACTGTTTTGACATTCCTGGAGGCGTTCAGGAAAAATGGATCATGGTTCTGTGTTCCTCGCATGAGCCCCTACAACATGCAGAAACCTTTCGAAAAAGCGCTCCATGTCCTGAAAGACCTTCCTTGTAAGCACCCATAGGCTGGTGTCAGAGTCCGCGATCCGTCGCAGGTTTCGCGATTTTCGCGATTTGCGCGACGGGTCACGGAAATCACAAGTGCCCGATCAATACTGCAAGGTGTTCTCCAATCCGCCGCCACTTCTGCTTGATAGTGATGGCTGAATGACGACTGCTCATGATTCCACTTGTTTCATATTCAGTGTTTCAAATGTTCAAATGGGGCACTTGCAATTTTTGCGATCCGCGCGAAGCCTGCGACGGATCACGGGCTCGACAGCAGCCTAAACTGCTCACGAAAGAGGAGAAGGCACACTTGGATGTATTAGTGCACCTAAGCCAAGCCAGTGGATGAGGATTTTGCCCATGCCTAAGGAAATATCGTTCGTCAGCTCCTCTAAGGCTTAGTCCATGGGACAAATACTATTTTGTCCTCACGGAGTACTATTTCGTACCCACGAAGCAGACGAACAGAGCGCCGCGCCGCCGCGTGGTCCCCCCCCAACTAAGTTAGCACCGGAAGTTCTAACTCGCGCCCACCATAAAGGGCATGTGATGCGACGTTCACGGCCGTTGCAGAATTCCTTCATTGCCCAAAGAAGTAAAGCCCATACTCAAGGTGCTAACATTTCGCCTCGGCTTTTGAACCCACCCGAAGTTTCCTTTCCCAGCGAAAAATTGGTTTACTTAATGTTATATGAACTGTTGCACCTCATGCCCCCTCTTACTGAATGACACCACCATTTCCTTTTGATGAATACCAAAACTGTTTGTTTAACGGCCGACGGTATTTGTACCGGAGGTGAGCGCCGAAGCACAACCACTACTTTCGGAACTTTGACATGTTGCAGTGACGAGCTAATCCCACGGAAACCAGCTATAATCTTCCGAACTGACAACGAAGTGAAACCGATGACCAACGAAGTGATGCTGTGGGAACCCGCCGTTTTGGTTTCCACGAATGGGAAATTAGCTCTTGGATACTTCGTTGAGTGGATAAAAGGACTTCAGGTTATTTGAAAGTAAAAAACTCACGACTGCACGTCGAATGGCGGTCAGGAACATCGCAAAAGAATGGCCCAGTGGACAGAAGTGAAGAAAAATGAATCGAATCGCTCGCGGCCGGTCGAAAAGGGCGGAGCCAACCAATGAGAACTTCGTTCTGGAAGATTCGTCCTTTAAATTCGCCGTCGGCCGTTTGAGTCCACTTCTTGCATCATACCCAATTGACCGCAATTCTGTTCGAGGTTATCTAGTCCCTACTGTAAAATGATTTCGTCACCCTACAAAAGTTTGAAAAACAAAGTTGCCGGTCAGCACATGAGCTGAAAATATGAGGGGGATGAATCAACCAACAGCTAGGATACCAGGGACTATGCATTTGTCTATCAAGCGCGTTCGCATTGCAAGTGCGGGAGATTGACTTGGAACCTTTTACAACACCTGATGAGGAACGTCTAGGGCATTGGCTCCCCACCTGGGCATCCTGGGTGCTAACATAGTTGGAGGAGGTCAGTTGGCCCTCAGTTCGTCTGCGCCTCCAAGGCTTAGTATCCGTTGTTGCTGTACTTCGAAACTGTTAACCAGGGAGGTTGTTCACATGTAGGAAACACGGAAGTAATTTCCAATTTCCTCTTCGAATACCTAGAAGGGAGCGAAAAACTTTGTTAGAGCGTGCCACTTTTGCAGCTGAAATGTGTCTTAGTTCAGTTGCATCATTGGTTATTGCGAATTGGAAGGTTTTTGTGAACCATTAATAGAAGAGAACACGAAATCTGGCCAAGATTGTCGATACTCTTAATAGAAGAGAAACAGTCAACAGAGCTTTCGGTGTGCTGTCATTGGTGTTCGGATGGCTTGGTGGACAGCCCTGCGGACTCTCATTGGAACGGTATTGGTAGGGATCGTAGTTCGACTCTCCACGCTTGTGTTTTGGATTTCGAATTAGCGTTCAAAGGTTACTGCCAAATGGCATTGTCCTCAAAGGCAGGTTCTCCACCCCGTCGAGCAACGCATGGTTGTGTTCTCATCCTTTTTACTGACTGGGTTTTGTCAATGCCTGACCTGGCTCCAGGGATGACGGCTCGGCGTCAGAAGTGTTGAACGGGAAGGAGTTCTGATCAATGTGTTAATATCACTCAGAATTACCGCTGGTTTCCACCACGGGCTCTCTCCAAATCGTCCATCCGTTCATGACAGGCTGTTAGCCTGCACGGTTATGTGCCAACCCGTGGCCCACTTTGTCGAAATTAGGTTAAAATCTAGATTTTTTTTTCTAACAAGTCAGCTGTGGGGATGATCCAGTGCTTTGATCGCGAATATGATATCCATTTTGGACGCTAGCACCACTCACCACTTGGCCGCCACTTATGGTTAGTGCCACTTTGGGGTGGGAGGGAGGGGGGGGGGAAGGTAGACTGGTGCCACATGTCCTTCCGCCTGTTTTCGGTGAAGTCATAGTGAAGTTAACGAATAATCTTAATCACAAACATGACATAAACTCACGACGCTGGCTCAGCTGGTTCCAATTGGGAGGTGTAACACCAAATGCCAGCATTTGTGGCCACAGGGAAACGAACTCTTCATCACGAGTTTTTTGGCACTCAATGAGCTGTTCAAGATAATGAAGGTCACTTCTGTGTTCTCCACGTACCCCAATGACATGCAATAAAAATTTTTTAAAAAGCACTTTACCTGAACGACTTCCTCGGTAAGCCTCAGAGCAGGTGAACAGAGCATTTTGCCGCCGCGTAGCCACTCCAACCACGTTGGCACTACCTTTGTTTTCCGCTAAATGATATTCATCGCTGCTTCCAAACACGAAAAAATGAGATGCATTCAAAGATATCCGTGTACTCCAAAGGGTTACCAAACTAGGAGATGAAATAAACTGAACCAGTGACCGGAATATTGACAATATTACCTGATAAAAACTTATGAGAAGTCAGAAAAAAAGGCGCTATGTGACTCGAGGGGGGCCAGTCGCCGCGCGCGGCCGTGCGGCAACAGGAAATTCGAACATTCCGGCTTCTCACGGAACATTCCAGCTTCTCACGCATGTCATGTGACTGCCCTCACCCCCAACCCCCCTGAATTGGCTACACTCCCCCTGGCTCTCGAAATTTCCTGTTGCCGCACGGCCGCGCGCGGCGGACCAGTGGCGCGCGGCGATCTGTCCCTCCCGAGGACATTGCGGAAAAAATTATCGCTCCAATTGAAATACTGAAATCCTTCACGTTCTTCAATTGCAACACAATTTTTACACCCCTCTTTCTAAGGCTATAACTTCCTTCATATTCGAGCTTCTGCGCCGAAGTGATTTGATTTGGAAAATTCAAATTATTCTCTCTCCAACCATGGGTAAAATTCTTCGAAAGTTAATTTAATAAAAATTTAGTACGTTGTTACTTTTTTCTGTGCAAATGCGACTTTTTGACCTTTAAACGATCATAACTTCCTTCAATACATTCATTTGGGAAGCTGAACAAATATGATCGTGAAAGTTCAGTAGTTCAAAAATTAGTCCCGTTGTTACTTTTTTGGGGGTTTGCGTTACTATTTTTTTGGAACCGCGACTTTTTGACCTTCAAACGATCATAACTTCCTTCAAAGTCATTCATTTGGGAAGCTGAACACGGTATAATAAACTACAGGATTCAAGCTTTCTAACGAGCACCCAAACGTTCCTGAAAGATCAGCAGTTCAAAAATTAGTCCCGTTGTTACTTTTTTGAGGGGTATTCTTCAAGCGCGGGTTCTTCGGTTTCACTGCCCGTAACTCTTGAAAGACCAATGTCATGTTTAACTTAGGATGTGCTAGAAAGCTTCGAGCATGCGCTTGCACTACATCCCTTGCCTTGGTGCGCGCCACGCCTCGGGCGCCCTTCTAATTCGCTGATTCATTTGAAAGCTCATCAGGGGGGAATCGTGGTTTATAGACGCTCTAGTATCAGTCAGCTTACGAAAACGTAACCTGCTGCTAACTATCCGATATTACCAAAGAATATCACTGCCGGCCACCGAGAGAGTACGACGCCCCCCCCCGTTGTTACTCGTAACAACGTAGGGTTGACCCTGGTTGACCCTACGGGGCAAGACCGCTGCCGCGGCGCACGGCACGCTCGTGCCCTTTAGTGCAAAGCGAGGAGTCCATGAGCCACGGGATTGTAAGCGGTCTAGGAAGTAGGGGGCGGGCGTTACATTTGAAATGCGCAAGAAACTGGAACAGCGCGAGGCTTTTTTCGCTGCGGGAGCCCCAGGTATATTCCGATCATCAGTGGATTGGGAGTACCCGTAGCGAAAAATGCTTCGCGTTGCGCAAACGAGAAGGACGCGTTCTGTCGTAGCTACCCACACCCCACTCCCAACGAACGAGAATCGCAGCGAATTGCGCGATGGCACGAAGTTTTACACGTGCCTTATGGTCATTGGCTAGAGACCAATCGCTTAGTTACACTCATTGAGTACAGTACCGTCTGTTTCATCGCTTTTCCTTTTCTAGTAAATCTGGCACAATGCTTCTGGTCTATCGCGATTTGCAAGTGATTCTGTCGGCACAGTCTAGTCTTAAGTAGCAGCGCAATAAAGGCGTTCCTATGAAGTAACACCACATAGAAGAGAGATATAGGTATAGGCTATGTGTACTTTCATGTGGTGTTAAGAAACAGAATGCCATCTGTATCTCTACTGCCAGTTAATGAGACTAATAAAGTGGGTGTCTACAGTGGGGCAATGCGGCCTTTCCAGTAAACAAACGGCTGTTGATGCATAAACAGTCAATTAATCATCCTTCCGCTATGTAAGAATAGCGGACGTATGGGTGTGGTGTGCTCTCTGTAAAGGCTAGTTTTAATGCTTTGTGCATACATCAATTGTTGTCTAACGTCCCACGAGTATTCTTTGCGGAAAACCATAAGAGTCGGCGAAAAAAAGTTGGAGTGGCCTCGTACGTAACAAATTTATGTTGAACTATTGGTACATGGACGTATAAAAGCATAAAGGTGTGATGGTTTTCTTCGAGGGAAAAAGCTTCGTGCACTGAGGGATGGTCGTTCAAGATGCTATCGACATTCTGTTTTGTGTGGATGCACCCCTGCTTCTCTCATAAGTTCCTTTCCATGAGGGTGCCGACATGACGCAGTGCAGAGAAGAGATTTGCCATTTCTCATAAATGTTACAATGGCAAGAATCAGACGAGAAATCATAGGTTCACATTTCGGTAATATATAACTCATGGGCTACCGATACACTTGATCAGGGCAAGGTCCTTCACCTAGTGTGCATACCTTGCTAGGGTTCTTAGCCCTGTTGTATTATTTCTAGTGCTCTGCACTTGATTTCATCGCTTACGTCTCATTAGCACTGTAATGTGTGCCCTTTACTAGCTGCATTCGACAGGTAGGGCAACATCACATTTCTGTCAAGCAAAGTCAATCGCAGATGTCTCTGATTGTCGAGGAGTGAATGCTAAGAAATGCGCTGATGATTATGAAGTGGTTCATATTTCGAGCGATTGATTAGAAGTGATTTCATCACTAGCACCAGACAGTTGTCCCGCGGCCCGTTCACTACCGTAAAGTACATTGTCAGAGTGCGGCATGATCGATAATCGGTTCAAGTCAAACTCTTGAATATTCTGTTCGAATGCTGAGAGCACTAAGGAATAGTGCTAAGGGCATATGTAGAAGGAGGGGTCGATCTAATAACAGAGTATTTTGAAACAATAATCCGTTTCACCCACAATAATTCCTGTTCTGGAGGGGAGTAAGCTCTGCGGTGGATGAATTTAACCACTTTGCTTGTACAAAGTGGAGACCAGGCGTGTACCTTCCTGTAAACATCTAAAATAGAATGTCGTTGTTGTCGTCATTGCCTTGGAAGAAGTGTCCTGCACTTTGACAGGAGTAAACTTCTTGGCGAAAACAACTCAATTTCGTGTGTGATTTCGTGATTGCTTTATTCAGGCTGGGGATCTTCTGAAATCCTTCAAACCTCTTCATGATCGAGTGCTGGTTGAACGTATCGCTGCGGAGACAAAAACCAAGGGCGGAATAATGTTGCCTGAGAAGTCACAAGGCAAGGTGTGACTTGAAACTACAACCCTCTTTGACTTCAGCTTTGTAGATGTTTGCTATGTTTGCAGTAGCTTTTTGCAGGTACTTGAGGCAACTGTTATCGCTGTCGGACCTGGAGCGCGCAACGAGAAAGGCGATCTCATCCCTATGTGCGTAAAGTCAGGAGACCATGTGCTTCTACCTGAGTATGGCGGCACTAAGGTACAATAGTCTATGAAAAAAGTTACTCCATCTTTCATGGATCTTCAATAGCGTATGCTTTTCAGGTAGTTGTTGATGAGAAAGAATATTCAATTTTCCGGGAACAGGATCTGCTCGGTGTTTTCCATTAGGTTGTCAATTTTTCAATGACTATAATCTCGTTATATACATTAGATGTTAGGTTTGGTTAGTTGCTCACTATTATTGTTACTTGTTACCAGCTGAAGCTATTGTTGCAAACTGCATTCAAGAATAAAGTATTATAATTTTGCTCGTAATCTTCTTATGCTTCCATCCACCGCAGAGGTAGACTGGCAGATCGATAGGGGTTTGGAATGCTGTCGCGTTTGAATTGGAGTTCCGTCGGCGTCAGTATTAAGGAAAACAGTTTACGGCTAAATAAACAAAGTACTGATAAGCACTGAGTTCAAATGCGATAGGACTAAACAATTGGTGCACAACAAAATGCAAACAAGCTGATGGTATGCACTTATAAAGTTGTGGTATTTGAGTAGTTTGGGGATAAAGATGGATGAAATTATCCGACTGCACATATGACATCGCATTTGCCTCCAAGACACTGGTACATGAGGCCGGTCCGAGGGGGATATGGAAGCGTATCTGCTTTTTTGTATCGTATTTTGGTTAATAGGGGGGTTGTGCTCGAGGATCTAAGACGAGTTTCTTAGTAACGGTTATTGAGAGCTCATGCTGAGTGAATATGAAAAACGGGACGTTTGTGACAATTTCAATTAGTTTGCACGAAGATTGAGGTATGGAATAGGGCTAAATAAGAGTTATTGCAGTTTCTGTGTTCATATGTACACCCCTTTCCACTCACCCTATTGTTAGCCGTCCTGCCGGTGGCGGCTCTGCAGTTTTGGAAGAGATTTGGGACGGAGTTGAAGTGTGTTATGAGGTCTCAGAGTATGGTGGTGTCCTCGGTGCCATAGCTATTTCTGATTAGTATTGAATTTTAAGATAAATACTGAAGCCGAATTCAGTCCTTCCCCAGGGAAGGGGCACAAAAATCCGTATCTATTTTATTTTCTTTGTCTTCTCAACCGGGATCGCCTTAAAAGAATCCTTCGCGGAAATTTCCTTGCATTCTTTCTTGACATGAATGTGTCAGTTGTGATCACTGGAAACAGCACACAAAGTTTCACGCATGAAGATTT